ACCATGGATCTAAAATCAAATTTGATTTTGCCAAGTGGCTAAAATAGGATTCTTCTTAGCATTTTGCAGTGGTGTCGTAAAGAAGTGCTTAAATTTTCTATAAAAATTTGCTATAAGGGTTTTTTTTTGGTATGTGGAATCCATTTCTGCACTCATCTTTTTCTTACAACTTTTTCGCAATTTGGCACACTCCAAAATGATTTTAGACCCATGGTCTCTTCGACAAATTTGCTTAGAATTACAAGTAGAATCCACCTATGCTATACAAGCATAGGAAACAAAATTTACACACCCTAATGTGGGTGATAAGTGTTCAAACAAGTAATAAAAAGTTTACATATAGGAAAAAGTTGGTTCAACGTTCATCAATAGCTTACACGTGCCATTTTCTCAAGTAGCTTTCAGAATTTATGTGCCCCTCAAACTTGATTTTTTTTAACAAAATTTCAGTTTAAAGGGCAGAATAATTTTAAAAATTACTTGAACAAACGCTCTTTGGCTGTAAAAAATCAAACAACTTTCAACTTCAAAAGAAATGCAGTCAAAATTCAGTATCACACAAGTCAAACTTAAAATCTTCTAATTGTAATTTCTCAGAAACTCATTTGTTAGGGAAAACAGTATTTATGTATTTTCATGGGCGATACTCGAACTTGACGCCATAAGTTAGCATTATTAGTTTCAAAACTACGCCGCAAGTCGAATGAAGCAGAAACAAAACTCAAACAAAACCACTTCAGCTTAAAAGCCATCACTTAAGAAGTTATTGCCTAAGGCATATCATTGCACGAATTTAGCAAAAAACAGAAGATAAATATGTATGTACATATGTACGCGTAAATGCTTGTGTAAGCACATATTTACTTTTAAAACATCTCGCCCGATTAACGCTGAAGAATATCGTAATTATGAAATCTTTTAAGCAAGCAGGCAAAACATTTAAAAACAGACGTCGGGAAAAAGGACTGTCGAAAACAGTAACTGCTATGCCAGGCGAACACTAAAATTAAATGCTGGCATTGTTGGGCCAATACAAGTAATAATGCAACTACAATAAGAAGCCAACATAAATGCGAGTCAACAATTTGTAATTAATTAATTACAACAACCGATTGCTTGAGGCTTAGAAGCAAAAGCAGTAAATCCAGAGAAAAACTAAAGGATACAAAAAAGAATATGTATATATATAGGGTGATTTGTGATATGACAATCGGTACTACAGACTTTGGCAAACTCAGTCATGGAGCCATACTCAGTTGAATAACGCGTAAAAGTGATCCAAATGTTGACGAATTTTCAAAAAAAAAAATTATTACAAGCAACGAGGCTTATTTTCACCGCAACGTATGCGTTAACAAACAAAACTGCACCTACTGCTGGAAAAAAAACCACTATGCATCAGCAACAAGTCACTGTTTGGTGTGATTTTTGGGCTGGCGGAGACATCGGACTCTACTCCTTCGTAAATAGGGATGCAAATTTTGGGAAGCAGCATCTATATAGCGATTTTTCGAAGCATCAGAAAAATCAACATCCATATATCGATGGTTTACAATATTTTACAGTTCCTTATATCTTAGTTAACTTCAATGAAAAATTTTATATAATTTTCAAGTCCAAACAATGCAGTCTTTTAAAATGCAATTAGGAAAATATCCTTGTATTTACTATTATTTAATTAGCCTTTCTACATCCGCGCTCATTTCCAAGGCCTGGAATCAAAAACAATGTATATCTCTTGGCAATAAATATTAAAATGTAATTATGTTAACGTTCTCAACACTGGACGCTAAGTTAGAAATTTCTGAATGTTCTGCCAAATAGAATGTCCCCTTCTTAACACACAATGAACCGTCGCATTCTACAACCGAACCTCATTTGTAATCCTTACTGATCCCACAGATCAACTTTATTTTTAACTTTTTAAAAAATTTACATATCCAAAGCTCTGGCAGCTCTGCTCTAATGACTTATTAATTGTAATTTTAATTATAATTAATAAAAATAGTAATAAAAAAAATTCATGATCAGTCAAAACTAAATTTTGGAAAATAGTTTACAAACACTAAAGTCGATGTTGAAAAAATCATTGAAATTGAAATCGGTGTTGCCTCAATTTAGCGATGTTACAAACTTTTTAATATCGATGGCAAACATCCATTTTCAGACCGATATTATCGACGTTTCAGAAACATCGATTCATCGTTTCCATCCCTATTCGAAAGTGATGCCCGTAACGCTGTTACGACAAACCGTGAACGTTATAGCGAGATGAGAAAAAAAAATTCGTAGCCTAGATTAGACGACATGGACTTGGACAATATGTGGTCTTAACCGAACCGAACCGAAGTGGCACCCACTTGCCACACAGCGCCTGAAAAAATGTCCCTATTGCAAACATCTGCGGCCTTATTTAATCACCGTATATATACATACATATGTTTGTATGGGCGCAGTCAGCATTGCTCAGCAATATTTGTTCAGAGCAAGTAGTGCGAAACTCGTATGTACAGGTTAGATATATGAGCGAAAGCAAAATTTTCATTTGCGTCTAAAATGGCGTGAGATGTAAGATCTCGCCCTCCGATCAAGCGTGCTCGTTGTAAATTCCCTAACATTTTCAATTACGTGTATAAAAGTGTGTATTAAAAAGTTCGCAAGCGTGTGTGCGCCCCCAAATTCGGTTATTGTATAAGTGTTTACCTTTAAAAGGGCTGTTGAAGTTTTGCAAGTGACACTACTCAGGCGAAGACCTTCGCTTCAAATGGAAATGGAAATTAAACAGCAGTCTTCCGAATTCGAGTGGAATACTACAAGCGAAATTAAAAAGCTTTAGAAAAAATAACACCCTCGGATAATTTTTTAAGTTGTTGATTTAAAAAAACTAAAGAGAAACCTTGGCAACGTCACATTTTTGGTAGGGAAAAATAAATTTTTGCTGTATATATACGCTGGCATATGTTTGTATATTTCGTCTATGTAATAAATATGTAAAAGAGTATGAGAAAAATGTACATTATTAAAATACTGTTGACGAGAAATTGTCTGTGAAGTGTAAGCAAATGAAAGAAGATAACAGATAAAAAGTAAGACAAATTACGACAAATTTTATATTTATTATTTTACATGTCAAACCTTAATTGGAATTATTATGCACGAAAACGTGTGTACCTCGTTAAAAATTGTCCTTGACTACCATTTAATACCATGTCAACTATGCATACGGTGACCATATATATTTATGGCAGCCGAATACCGTACAAAAAATTAGTTGCCAATTTTGTCCATAATGCAAGATTTATTAGCCCTGAAACAATATCTTTATTTTGCATATGTTTTTCGATATTTTATGAAATCAGCACATATGTTAATATTCAGTAGTAGCATCACACATTTGTTGAATATTTTCCAATAATTTTGTACTTTGTGCTCGGGACTTTTACCCCGCAAAATTTGCTACAAACATTCCAAGGCAAGGAAACATGATGAAAATATCCAATTACTTTTAATGCGCGAGTAGTATTCTAAGGATTATTTTCAGAGTCAGATTTCGGCCAAGCACAATGCAGTGAATAGCATCCGAAACGAGCTGAATTGCCAAGCGTACCTTTGAAGGGTTCCACTTTCCTTCCATCTTTGAGAACTTCTTTACTTTTACAATATTCTCTAGGTAGACTTCTTATTTGGAGTTTCTTATGTTGAAGATACAACGCCTCATACAATCAGCAATAATTTTTGTTTACGTATGTAGGTAGTTTCGCCCAATAAATATCTTTTCTCTTTACAAAATTTTAAAATTGCATCCCCACCACGGCACATTGGACATGTAATGGGACCCGAGAAAAAAACAGCAAGCTATGATGGTTTTGCAATTTCTTTTAGAAATTTGAACAATAATCATTAACGCTTAATTTCGATTCATATCTATATACTCACAAATTTTCTATGCAAAATTATAGCTTAAGAAACCAGATTTAAAAATAAAAACTGCTACATAGTTCATAGGCATGTCATTTTTATGAGCTGCCAAGGCGCCAAAACACCGAATACGGGACAAATACGGGACATTCAAAGAAATACAGAACTTTTGACGGCCCATGTGAAATAAATAAATTACCAGGACTATTGACAAAAAAGAGGGCGTTCCCGTATAAAACAGGACGGATGGTCACCGTAACTATGCATGTAAGTCAAGCAAGCCATCCGGCGCGTATTGAAGTGCTTGGGATTATAGAACTCCAATATACTGCAAACATGCCTAATTGGCAAGGGCGCCTGCAGATTTTGCTTACTTAATGTACATATATTTATGCTAACAGTTGTTATACAAAAAAAATACTTAATTTCAAGACAACCTTTTCGAAATGGTGAGCAGAGAAATAGATACAAATGTATGTATGTGGCCACACCTCCGACGCTGAGCCACCTAAGCATGTATTACACATCTATGTAAGTACATATGCACATGCATGTAAGTAAGCTCCTTACGTTCACGCGCCCGTGCTTAATTTAGCACAAGCATCATACAAACATACATATACAGTGTACATACACTTATGCTTATTTGCACATTCGTCTCGTGCAAGCTATCAAAGGATTTGCCACCAAATGCGGGCCATTGATGAGCTTCATAGCCCTAACACACACATACACTTCAATGCATGCACTTAAGAAGCACACACATACATGTTGCACATACGCGCATATGCTAAAACCTGCTTTTTCATATAGGTACATACATATGTATGTTGGCACATATTTTCTTAAACACACACATACTTTTAGTGTTTACATTCGTGAAGTGCCTTTGGCGCCTTGAAGCGCCTATAAGTATACCCGGCGTTTATCGTTAGCGTTCGGTTTAAGTGCCATCCTTTATTCAATCATGCCTTTGAAGTTCTATCATGCATACCACATACATAGGTGTATACTATATAATCAATAAAAATTGTGTTTTTTTTATTTTTGTAGTTAAGCATTTTTATATGGGCTACACTTACCATTAATGTGAATGCACTGTATGTACTTGATTGAATTTTATACACAAATAACTCGCAATAAAATTTTTTATTCACCTCGGTGGTCGAATATGTTACACATTAACTTGATTCAAGCACTTTTCATTTGAATTTTCACTTACATTTGTACAGTAATTATTGCATCGTCGACTCAGATTAGTATTTCAACATCACTTGACACAGGATTTTTCTATGTGCTTTACGTTTCAGTAAATATGTTAATTTAATTCCACTTTTTT